AACTTTATAAAATTAGTTATTTTTATAGATCATAATATATAAATATTATAAGAATTAAGAATTAATATAAAAAAATTATATATAATTTAATTCAAATATTTTCTTATAATAGAAATTAATTAGAAATATTAAACTAATATATAAAAATTAATATTAATAATTTAAATATTATTAATATTAAATTTGAATTTCTAAATAAATTAAAATTATTATAAAGAAATATATAAATTATTTTAATAATTTATATATTATTCTTAATATATATTCAAGTTAAATAACTTGAGTTTTATGATTGACTTCTTACTTGAATGACTTGAGTTTTGTAATTAACTTATTACTTGAATAATTTGAGTTTTATAATTGATTTATTACTTGAATAACTTGAGTTTTATAATTAATTTATTACTTAAATAACTTGAGTTTTGTAATTTATATATTATAGCTAAGAATATATAATCTAAACTAAGTGAAAATAATATAATTATATTATTTCTACTATTTTAAACAAGAATTATAAGTTTATTTATAATTATTTTATATAATTATTAAAATTTTGATTTTAATTAAAATATTTAATTTAAATAATTATTATAAATATAATATATTTTCATAAATAGCAATATTTATTTTAGTAAAATTTGTAATTCTAGACAAGAATTACAATTTTGCTTATAATTATTTTGTATAATTATTATTAAAAAATTAAAAATATTATTAAAAAACTAAAATACTTTAATTTTTAAATAAAAAATAATTTATTTTAAATGTTAAATATTCCAACAAGTATTAATTTTTGTTATACAATATCTAATATGAAATTCTAATTCAGAATTCAGACTAACTTTACCTTAGAGCTATTTTTTGAACTCAAACCAGACTCAGACTCAAATCTAAGCTCAAGTTCAATTCGAATCTGATTCAAATTTTGAACCAGACTTAAATCTAATAAAAAGTCCAGTTAGGAACAGTAGCATCAAGTTATCAAAGCCATGTTAATGCGAAAGTAATGGTCTGATAAAAGAGATGCACCAATAAATGCTAATTATATTGGAATACACCAATGAATCAAAACAAGAATGGTTTATTAGTCTGGATGCCATGGTTAAAGTGAGATCTGGATAGAGAAAAGTGAGAGAAAGTTACAATATAAAAGTTAAGTATTAACAGCGTAAAATATAATCTGAAGTATTGCGATTGCGAATTACCTTAGATAGAAACTAGCGACATCAACGGAAGAGATAGATCAGGCAACTCGACAAAAGCTCGGATTGGTGATCGAGGAAACGCGGAAAATAAACTCAAACAAGCCCCGTGATCGTATAGTCTCACGGTTTACCCAGTAGATTTCAGAATCATGCTCATGGTGCACATGATGAACGCGATCACAGCTCGATTTAAAAGACAAACGGATTGGCGATGCATTCGAAAAAAATATCCGATTATAGCGATACAACGAAAAGAAAATGCTTTCATTTAAAGACGTGAAAATTTGAATGGAAAATAATAGGGATTGGAACTTTATATAAAAACTTCGCCCAGATATCCGTGTCCTTTTTAATCCGGATGAATTCGAGTTTAGCACGGTTTACCAGGTATGCACAAATTCGTACCAAATATAAATATCGGCGAATGAATACTGTTGAAATTTCTCTTGTAACATTTGACAGGTACCCAGTTCGAAAATTTCAAACAGGAAGTTCATTTACAAGCTTACAAAGAAAAGATAACATATCATATATATATCGGGGGATATTGTTATATATTAATACGGAGATTTAAAACTCTTGAAAATTAAGTTTTAATTTATACATGCACTTTATCTATTATATTAAATGATGCATCGTTATCAGACAGCACTCTTTATAATCTCTTATTATTATTAGGTTATTTCTAGGAATTCTATTTCTTAGCGTCCTGTTAATCCACATGATCAAAACAATTAGCCAATCAAATATAATAAAAATCTCATCTTGTGTAACTACATATTACGTGATATGTCCATTCCCATGTACAATGTCCTTTGTTTATTGTGTTGAAAAGTTTAAAAATTCGAGAATTTACTTGATCATCTATTTTTAGTTTTTCAAAAGATGTTGATCGCATGATCAAGTCTAAATCGATATCTAATTTACAAATTTCGATTTGCGTTAATATGTATTATAAAATTTCCAAAGCATACAAATATTAATCATCTATATTTTATATTACAAATGTATAAGACTTCCGAAAAAATCTGTCACGGTGTCCGGAAAACTGGATCGGCGATCGATGTCGGATGCATAGGATTCAGGGGTGTAAAATTATTAAAGTGTAACGAAATGTCGTTAGCATATATACGTAATATTACGTGCGTAATGCAACTTATTAAAGTCTGGTTTTGATAAAATGTAATCTAGGCATCATCATCATCATCACATGTAACGTGGTTAAATTGGTTTCGACAATGAGGTGATATTTTAAGAAAGAATGTAGCGGGTAGATAGAAAAAAAACCACACAAGGCACCTTTCCTTTTACACGTCACAATAATTTTTACCATTCATCTAATTACCATATTTTAATTCAATTAATGGTAGATCAATAAACGAAAAGTTCTGCGTGTAAGACAACAATATTGTTTACCTATTTGGAGATAATGGATTAGTAATACTTCTAAGAAATTCCGTAGGGTCATTACGAATATAATATTGAAGTGTAATTTTTTTTTGTAGCGTGCTGCTAAATTCAACACAGATTTCCGTTTCGGAAGTCCCGTCAAATGAGGATATATGCAGCAACAAAAGAGTCCGTAATAAATGCTTTCTATGCACTGTTTGTATCATTATGAAATGCATTATAAGCCAAAACATACATAAAAAACTGCGTATTTATTACAAATTTGATGTTTTGCTTGTTCGTGGCGGGAAAATAAACAAATGAAGTAGGATCGCAGAATGCATTATGCAATAAAACTCACCACCGATAAATTGGTGTGACTTTACAGACTTGCCTTTATTTTCTTGATTCTAAATCATACCTGAAAATCGAGATCCCCAAATTTGAGAAATTAGCCTCATTGAATGAATATATATGATGCTAATTTTGGTACTCTAAAAAAGTATCGCACTTATTTTATTGGTTGATTATTCTCCTAAATATTTGTACGATAAGAAACCAGAAAACACCATCCCAAATTTGAACGATATAATAATGAAAGTCTAAAATCCAATGTTAAAAGATATAAACTAAACTAAAAAAAAAAAAAAAAAAAAACAAATTTAATTCGTTCTGTCGAGAGGGCTGCAATTTTTTTTAAAAAAATCGCCAATGAAACTTCAATTTTATCATTAAGTTACACGTAACGTAAAAAATGTGAATAATTTAACAGTTGTCTTTTATGGTAAGTATTGCCGAATAGTTATTTACATGCGTAACACGAATGCTTGGATCAGATGAAAGAACCATATGCGCTTTATACTCGTTCAAGAAAATGTTCATGATGCATAATCATCGACAACTTTATCCACGATTTTTTTCAATCGTTTCGTTACTCTCCGAATAAACCAATAAAAGTGGAAGTTTTCTTATTTATAAAACATTTTAAATTAATTGATCGATAAATTTCGTTTTAAGTTTAGGTTCAGGATTGTATAGAGCTACGTTTTTGTACAGTGTTGCGTTGCATTGCATCTTATTTTTTTTTTATGTCAACGTTATTAACTAAATAAATACCAACTTCCTCGTAACACATTAACTATACAGCATGAAAAAATCTATAAAAAGAGGAAGTTGCAAATGAATATCGTTTTTATCGGAAAAAATTTATTGCATGTATCAAAAAAATATTAGTTTGTATTAAAAAGACTTATTTTCACACTCTATCATAAGAAAAAGACCAAAAATAATTGAATTAAATCGAATCCAACTAAAAAGAAAAAGAAAAAGAAAGTATAATATTATCTATCATTATGTCTGGCGAAGAATCCAGCCTCTCAAAACGTAGAAGAGTTGCGAGAGCCTGTGATACATGCAGACGCAAAAAGGTTCGTTGTGACGGTGTACAGGCTGGATCCGATCCTCCGTCTTGTACGAACTGTAAAGCTTATGGATATGAATGGTACTTTATACTTAAGAAAGCATTAAAAAGTTGCCCATACGTTTGTCTAATCATAAACTTGATTCTTATTTGAATGAAGTGCCTTTATAGATGCACCCAAGAAACGGGGACCACCAAAAGGCTACATCGAAGCATTAGAAACGAGGCTTCAACGAATGGAGTCAATACTTGGTGGATTGGTTCAATCCGGAGAATTACCGGAAGGCGCAATTTCATCAAATCTTGAATGGATTAATGTGAACGAAACAAATTTCAATGGTGGGGAAACTGTCGTTGGAAAATCCGGTCAAGAATCTCGTGGTACGCACAGATCGTATGAAGGTGGATCCAAGAGTTCTTCATCTTTGGCATTATCTTCATCTCATCGAACAGATGGATATTCACGACACAAGAAAACATCGAATTCCAGTCGTTATAGTGGTCATAGATCTCATTCAAATAGCGAAGATTCCGATCAATCATCTTCCGACAACAGTAATCAAGAATATGGAAGTAATTATGATCTGAACGATAGTATGGGTCAGTTGGCGATTGATGAAACTGGTCAAACACGATATCTGGGGAATAGTTCAGGAATTTTTTTACTCAAAATCACCAACAAGGTGGCGAACGGTCAAATCATTACTGTACCACGTAGTGAATGTCATAGTAAAGTGGATTTGAAATCGGCTGTGTTTGAATTGCCGCCTCGAGAATTATGTGATCAAATGTTGGACACTTACTTCGCCCGAATTCACCCTTATATGCCTTTTATCGATCCGGTTGATTTACGAGAGAAATACGAAAATCTTTCAAATAATTCTTCAATATTAATTTTACTTTACGCGATATTCGCGATTTCATCACGATTCATTGATCAACCCGCCGTTCGTAAAAATCCGGATGACCCAACTACAACAGGTAAATTACAATGATACAAGATAAAGAAAGAAAAAAAGAAAGAAAGAAAGAAAGAATACTAAATACAAAAATTCAAAAATAGGCGATGGATTCTTCGAACGTGCCAAAGAATTACTCAAAGATGAATTCGACGATGCACAATTGAGCACTCTACAAGCACTTTTAATTATGGCTGCGTATCAACAAGGGGCGAAAAATTCACGAACTTGGATATATACAGGTTTGGCCATTCGTATCGCACAAGATATGGGATTACATCGTGACTCCGCGAAATGGAGTCTCGATGAAAAACAGACCGAAGTGCGAAAACGTGTTTGGTGGTCTTGTTATATGTCTGATCGCTTTATTAGTGCGGGATTGGGTCGAGTAAGTAGAAAACTGTTATATTTTTTTATATTCCTAATTAAAATCAATCAATGATTAATAAAATTATAAAAAATTAGCCGATGATTATCAACGAGTCGGATTGTGATGTTCCATTCCCTACACCTGGCGCATTACCAAAAGATGAACCAGAATCAGTAGATGCATGGGTGAGAACAATAAAGTTAACACAAATTCTGGGACGTGTCTTATCACACATCTATGGAATAAAATCAAAGCACACCACACATGCTGCAATGGACTCTGTTCTCGCTACCTTGGATGCGGAGCTCAACAAATGGCGTGATGATCTTCCATCCGATTTACAATATGATCCATCAATGACTGTTGGTGATCCAATGAATCAAAGACGCGGAGTCATGCATCTAATGTTCTACACTATTCAAATATTGTTACATCGACCACACATTCGAGGGCCTAAATCAAAGGCACCGCCCTCCTCAATTCCCTCCCTCACTATATGCACGATGGCGGCAAGTAATATCACCCATATTGCATATCGAGCAATGAAAGAAGGGAAATTAAGACTTGCCTGGAATTTCACGCTATATTTCTTTTTCACCGCGTCTGTTATGCATGTCATTAATGCGTTAAGTGGTGATGATCGATTCCGTGAAGTAGCAAAACATGGACTGCGCATGTCTCTGAAATGTTTGGAGTATTTGAAATCTTATTGGTTTGGGTCCGAAAAATGCATTCTGGTAATACGAGATTTATTACGTGTACGGAATATTAATCTTGACGGATTTAATCCCAATGGAACGGAACATATTAATGAATCAAAAAGAGATAGCGAAGAAACGTTCAAAACGGATGGAAATGTTGTCATGTGTATGCGAGATTGTGAATCTCGAACAGTTCCTAACAGTAATCATAAAGTTACATTTGCACCATCATCTCCTTCATCATCAACACCTGGAATAACCGCAACCACAACCGACGAATATAATGCCGCTATCATGCAACAAATGGCTGCCGCCGCTGCAGCAGTTGTTGCATCTCAAAATGGAACAAATAACAGCAATAGCAACAGCAGCAACAACAACAGCAGCAGCAGCAGCAGCAGCAGCAGCAGCAGCAGCAACAACAGCAACAACAACAACAACAACAATAATATTACTATTAATAATACTACATCTTCAACACATCAACATTCACAAAATTCGGCATCACAATTTACCCGAACAACTAGTTCTACAAGTACCACAACCACAACACAACAACAACGATCACCATCATTACCATACGAAAATTCACCATCTCCCGCGTCGTCTTCTTCATCCACTGTCAATACATTTATACCATTTGGTTCGGAATTTTTGAGTCAAGAAAACGCATTCTTCCCGCCAAATGCCGACGCATTCGCTACTACTGATATGTCATCGTTGATGTTTGATGATGAGGATCCATTGGGTAATGGAAATCCATTTTGGTCGGTACCCACGAATATCGATTGGAACGTTTGGACAGAGTACATGAGCGGAATGCAGGGATTAAGAGCTGCTACCACTATGAGTGAGTCTAATGGGGTTATGGGTCGTGGTGTTGGGGGAAGTGTTAGTGGTCACACTAGTGGGCGAATTCCACATGGATTATGAATTAAGTGTTGGGCTTTTTTTTTGATTTATTAATAATTGTATTACTATTATTATTATTATTATTATTATTATTATTATTATTATTATTATATGTAAATAATAATTTACCCTTTTTCACACTATTATTTCGATTATTTCTTTCATACACAAAAAAACCACATGCTTTTCCTAACATAGAATTAGACTGATCAATTACTTATTTGAATTGTTATACAATATAAAAAAATAAAATAACGAATAATGATGTATGATTATAGCGCAGCGGTGCTGGATTTTCTCATCAGAAATCTAATTGATTTTCTTTTCCATATCAGAAATTTCCAAATACATGTAAAAATACACTTTGCCTTCTACGGAATTTAATTAGCCGCGGGTTGATGGTTTAGCCGAAAGATTGCATTATTTTAAAGTGGCTGTGTGGGACATTCATTATTTAAACATCCACGTGATTATCAGCCAATCACGTCTTGCCATAATTCAAACGAAATTTCAAACCTTTTTTTTTTTTAGAGAAAGTTCCAAGGTTAAGTAAGATGTCGGGACAACCCGGATTAAAAAGCAAAGACAACGATTCTTCTTCGCAGGTAGCTTCACTCTACAAAATGAAATATGCTCTAATAATTATTTTTTGCTGAATCTTTTTGGTTATCCCTTTGCTATTATATAGTTGGCGGCTTCAAATGGTAGTAGTTCTCAACAAAACGTCATAGATACACTTGAGGCTTCCATAGAAGCGACTAAAGAAGTTATTGTGGTAGACAAGATCAATATAGATATTACTGAACACGCGGCACCAAAATTCAACGATAAAATTGATCCAGTCATCGGTTCGGTTGACGACGAGAGCACCAAACGACGAACAACGTAATATGAGAAAGAAATAAATGATTTTTGATTTGATTTAAAAGATGATTTTAAAAGATGAATCGTTGCAATTTGGGATCATATTTGATTCTTTCAAACATTGGAATCGATCGTGTAAAAATAAAATTCTCGATTATTATTTCAATAATCTAGGCTTACGACACTTGCAACTAGTCATCATTATGTTGCTAAACATGTTAGTTATATAAGCCCTACTGAGGATATCTTTAATCCTGAAGATCCAAATATCCGCGAGGTGGGCTATATATAATATCGACTTAAGTGTTTGGTTTTTTTACTGAAAACTTGCTGCTTATTAGATTTGTCAGTTTGTTGTTTCCAAATAGGATATAATTCGAATGATTATGCAATATCTGTCAGATGAAGGTTATAACGCGTCAAAAACTACCCTGTATGATGAGGCAAATTTTAAATTTCATGAACGTGAAGAGCATGTCGCAGAAATAAAGCGATTAAAAAAAGCCATTCTTGGTGTGTAATGCATAAAATTTGGTTTGTGCCTGGTTCTGACTTTCCTAATGCTAAATTGAATGACATTCAATTCTCGATGTTTTCCTTTAGATGGTGATTGGGCAGAAGTTGACAAACTCTGTGCAAAATCACTAATTAAGAACCAGAAGAGTTTTTTGTATGCTGTTTATAAACAACAGTATCTTGAATATATTGAATATCAGGAGGTGCAAAAGGTATTCATCCTTTATCTTTTTGCTCTTGTATGTCTGTGTAATAGATATTAAGCGGACTTTGAATTTGTTTTCTTTTAGGCATTCACTTTTCTAAACAAAAGATTGAAGCCTCTTGAACATCTTCAGATGAATCCAAATGAATTTAAAGACTTGTGTTATTTACTTACAGCCAAATCTGTTCACGATGCTCCGTCGTTCAAAAATTGGGAAGGGATTGGTCCAGCAAGGCAATTTTTTTTTATTTGTCTCTGGAGCTTTTCTCCTCTCTTCGTTTCCGAATAATAACGATATTTATGATTGTTAACAAATAATAGAGAGAAGCTAGTAGAACAATTCCAAAATCTGCTTAATATTGAAAATGCGGATAAGGATGGTACGACCAAATATACGCGCCTTTAGCAACTCACTTGTTATTGAACTTCCAAATGCTTTCGCGGAAACAGCAGCAATATTTTCAATGATTTCTCAACCGAGAAGGTACCGTACACGTACCACCGAACCGATTACTTACTCTCCTTCGACAAGCCGTTGCCTACCAAATCGAATTTTCACGTTATCATCCGCGTGTTGCGCCCAGAGTAAACACGTGGGTATACTAATTTATCGTATTTCTCTCATAAATGATTCTTATTGATTTTTCGTTTCCTTCGTTTCTAAATAGATTGCTGCAGGATTACACAAGTTTTATAATACCTAACGCTATTCGGGCAACTTTAGTTGGTCACCAAGGAAATGTTAAATGTGTTGACTTTGTGGGCCAAAAAGGCAGAGAGATAGTCAGTGGATCAAGGTAAATTTTGATATTCATTATCAAGTTCGATGCCTTTCTCTGAGATTCTTATTCTATTAAAATTTCATCGCGTGTTGTATACTACGCTAGCGATAATACGCTCAGAATATGGGATACTGAAAGTTGTAAAGAGATTTGTGTATTAGAGGGTCACGAATCTCGAATTTGGGATGTATCCTCCAATAAGAATGGATCAATTGTGTCTAGTGCAAGTGGTGATAGCACAATTAAGGTTTGCTTTAATGCGAATATTATGTATTAACCGCGATTATTTTCTCAAGGTTCGATATTTCTATTATACAGTTATGGGATATGAAAGGAAGTAAACATATGTGTATTACATCATTGTCAGGCCACACCAGTGATGTTTACACGGTCAAGTTTCATCCTGGAGACGTAAGTAAATTGTCGATATAAATCTAGCGTTGTTCATGCATTTCATTTATTTACCCTAATAATTCCTATACATTACAAGAATCATATTGTTTCCGGAGGCTATGATAAAATTGTTAGATTGTACGATGTGAATACCGGTCAGTTGATAAAAATGTTTAGTGGACATCAGTTATCAGTCTCGAAAACTATTTTTAATCCGCTGGGAAATCTAATAATCAGCGGGTAAGATATATATCTTAAAAACAAAGATTTATCTGTTTTAGTTAAATTGATTAATCCGAGTTTTATAAAAACTAAAAAGTTCAAAAGACAACACCATCAAATTTTGGGACATTGTCTCTGGACTGTGCATTCGCACAATATCATCGCATTTGGGTGAGGTTACTTCGGTCGAGTTGAATTCTAATGGTACTCTGTTGCTGAGCAGTTCAAAAGATAATTCGAATCGTTTATGGGATGTTAGGATGGTAAGAAAGATTTTAACGCGCTTGTTATGCTTAATCCTTGTATTTAAAAAGTGTCTCTTAATTTGCGATTTAGGGACGTCCCATTAGAAAACTCAAAGGCCATCAAAACACTTCGAAAAATTTTATTCGTGCAGGATTTGCTAGTGATTCCTTAATTGTTGGTGGCTCTGAGGTAATTGCCAAAAATCAAAAATCACGCACATTTAATTGAACCCTCTCTCTCGACCTTTTATATAAATGTCCCTTTTTTAATAGGATGGTATCGTATACATTTGGGATCAAGACACTGGTGAGGTTCTACAAAGATTACGAGGACACACCGGTATGGTGTACAGTGCCATTTGGAATGCCTCGCAAAGTTTCTTGGTTAGTTGTAGTGACGATCGGACCTTGAATATGTGGTGGTATGATGAAAATCGTCCTCTTGATTAGTATACGTGATTTGGAATTTATATAGATCACACTAGATATAAATTTTAACAACTCGTAATTTATTGTTTAAAATCATATTTGATGGTTCTAACTTTTTGGATAGTATATTATTATTTTTGTTATCTTTATCTGTATGTTTATTATATACATCATCTTTTTTCATTTGAGTAAAAATTAAATGTGCCAAAATATAAGTCTATTGAAATAAGTCAAAAATTAACGGACAGATGCTTACAAAGGATTTAAAGAGAAATTCTACAGTTCAGTAAATGACAATTTTCAAGTCGTGGATTTTGAGAGTTGATCTATAACAAATTAATGCTGGATTTCATAATTAGTTCAATGACCACAAACTAATTTCAGAATTCATTAGTCCAAGAATTATTTGCTGATGTAAAATGTTTAATGAAAGATTACACGATAAAAATTTACCAGAAAGTGAACTATTATGTCTATCTCAAATAATTTAATTTATTGGATAAATAAGCATTTACAAAGAACAAATACAAATATTCTTTTTACATCACGTTATCTTGAAGGTTTAACAATCCTCGATATTCGACTTCAAATGATTCTGGATTTGGTACTGATTTGCGAGCTCTCCAGTAGATATTGTTGGCCTTGCCAAACTGTTTATTAACTAATAAAAACTCGATATAGGCAAGCCATAATTTTTCTGAATATTTAAAATATAAGACATCATTATATAATCAATAAACGTTATTATAGCGATCCTTAATAAATGCATAATAATTACCAGTATCGTCATCATCCTGTTGGGATTCGGTTACATTTAATGCTTGATCGTAAAGCCGACTAATGCGCTCGATATCATTTGGTTGCGTAGAGGACCCTAAACTCTCTCTCTCCAAATTAATACATATTTCAAAGAATGATCTGGTGGGCAGCGTTTTGGAAATTAAACTATTTGTAATATTAATAAAAAACAATCGAGATTAAGTGGCAATTCAAAGGTTTAATTGTACATTTCTTTCCCTTTCCTTATTATACCTTTCATATATTTTTCTGGCTTTCTTGATCCCTCCTTGATTTTTAACCCAAGAGAGATAACGAAATGCAACGACATATTGGACAGAACTTAATTCCGTTTGGGAGTTGTTGATTGAAGACGATCCGCATAAAGATGCAACTGTAAGCATCGAATTCTAATGAAAGATTCATTGAAGATACAAGATTAGGAATAAGCAAAAAAAGGAATATCACGGAGACAAGCAAAGAAACTTGCCATCAACAAATCATCTAGTTTCGATTCTACCAATTCGCCATTATTAAATCTTTTAAATAGCCAATCAAGGTACATTTGCCATAGCTCTTGTGATACTGGATTCAGTTTTAATGCTTCATCAAACAGAGACGAAGGATTATTTTTGGTATCATCTTTAGATTCTAATGTGATAGTGATTCGCTTTATCCACAGTTTCGCGTAATTTGGATATTTATGCGTTCCTTTTTCCAAGGTTTCCAACGCCAGTTCATGAGAATTAAGATGCGATGAAACAAATTCTGCCCAATCGAAGTACATTTCATTGGATGTTAGATTTTTGGTGTCCGTTGTTTCATAGGCTTTTGTTAATAATTTTGAGAAATAACGTCGCTGAGTTGCACATAAATTGATCATAATTATTTTCAGTTTCTTAAAAAAACAAACTGAAATAATAATTTAATTTTTTTATATTTACCAAATTTGGTTCAGTGACTCGATTAAAGTATTTAGTCAGGAATTTGGTATAAAGATACCAAATTTCGGTATTCATTAATTTCTGGAGAAGATTGTAATAATTAGATACACAAATAATTCGAAAAACACTAAAACATTATTCAACAAACCTCAATACTTTGTTCAAATTCGTTTATACTTTTTTTCAAAGCATTTATAAACTCTGGACACTCTATATTTAAAATAAAAGTCACATGTCTTTCAGCAAGAAAGGCGCGTGCTTTGGCGTCATTAAAGAAATCCTGTTCAATGCTTAATCAATTGATATTTATTGTCAGTATATTCCTTTTTTCTTTTAAGACAAATACAACCATCCCTCCATATAATCACGTCTTTGGGACCAGGAAGAACTGACTCAAAGAGGTTGTGGCTCTATAGAGGTCATATTTCCTCTTAAATAGCTAGAACTAGGAAAGGTGATTGTATGGAGGGACAACTGTAGATTGGGAAAGAACATAAATATAACCTGTTATAAATTAGTTCCTGTAATTCTTTGGTATTTGTAAATTCACGACATATATCAAGAAATTTCTGCCGAAAAAATAAATCATCCGGAATGGCTACTACGCGTCGCATTGAAGAAATTATCAGAAATGAAGCAAAGTACTTCTTTCTAACCACTGTAATAGCAAATTATAGGATTACCTTTAATGGCATTCTCAAAAACAGTTCTCGCGATTGCTCCTTGCAGCATCTTATTATTATCCTCTTTAAGTTTCTCGATATGTTTCTCATCAATCTCACTTGTTAATGGTTTCTTATTCTCATACAAGTAAAGATCCTCGCCGGTAAGTTTAGGCAAGCGAATCATATTTTCTATGTCCGGTCTCTCTTCGATTTCTAGTTCTTCTTCAGAATTTTTTTTAGGCTCCTTTGATAATATCCCGAGAATTTTACGACGCGTGGTTATTTTTTCCACATACAATAATTCCAATTTGAAATACTCCTGCCATAGCTGTTTTGATGCGTTGTTAAATCTGAGACCCCGTTGCATTAATACTATAAATGAAGAAGATTATAAAATGATCGATTATACAAATAATCCCTAATGAATAAGTGAAAATAAAGAATAATACCTCTGGCTGCAACTATGTTGGCGTTAGATTCGAATTCCCATTTTGCAGCAAGAATCCAAAGTTCTGGTTTCGTTGGATGCAATTGAATCGCTCTTTTTTTGTTAGAATTAAAGATTATAAATACCCATATATGAATAAATTAATTAATAGAAATTATTACTTTACGCAATTCTTTACCTCCCATAAATCTTACCCAGCAACTTGCCAGCACCTGAAGTCTTTGCATACTCAATATACTGTAACCATAATGCAACATCACCCTTAAACTTTATCAAGGCGCGATCATAAATCTGATAAATCCTTCGAGGGATCGCGTAGTCTGATATGGTCGTTTTTCCTTTTATATCTAGATTCAAATCCGTTCAATTTAATATATAACGAAATTACAGATGCAGCAGTTAGAAAGAATCTCGAATATTGTGATTACTCATTCGTTTTTTTCTCTTTTTTCGTAATTGTTCCAAATTCATCTCGTATTCAATATATCGCAGGAAGTCCATTTTTTGTGGTTGGATACGTTCTAAAGAATACTCAAAATTCGTCCGTCTCTTTATAATTAATTTGATTTCCGCCTACCGAATTGATTCATAGAAATTCAATACTGTGAATGAAAAATAAAGATATTAATTTTTCTTTTTAATAATGCAAACTTTAGTAAATAATTTTTTTTGCTCCAAGTCTTCAAGCTCGGGCACCATTTGCTCGAGATAATATTGCACAGTTTCCGCCATTTTTAAGATGTCTTCGAATAATGAGTTGTTCCTTTATAAAAAATGTAAAGATACTAGCAATATTCAACTTTTTAACGTGCTAAACCACCGCCAAAAGATTAGTCACAGTTGGTCACGAGTAATTATTGCACGTGCATTAAAATCACATGACTAAAATGTGAATCATTTAGACCGTGAAAATGACGAATTTGCATGTTTTTATTTGTGGATCTTTCAAAATTAAACAACTAAATAATAAATAATTATATCATATCAATATTATCAAATATCATGTCATTGAAACTTCCATCTCTTCATCTTCATCGTCATCCAAGATTCTGGGGCCTAATTTCGCTAAATCAGGTTTAGGAGGTTGAATAGCCTCAAGATATGATTTACGTCCAGTCTTTGGAACTAAATTTGCACAGTGTCGTTTGTCAGCCTCTATCTTGTCAAACAATCTTGCTGCTTCTGGCGTCTACGAAAAAAATCAAATTAAATATCGATTAAGTTGGAAAATAAAAGCCAGTATTTTTTGTTTACCTTCCAATAATAATAATCTAATTCAATCCATTTTTCGTCTTCTGCTTCTCGTTGAGATAAGGAATATGTGCTCTTTCGCTTTGCAGCAGCATCTGGATCGTTCGTCTTTGCGGATATCTTGTATTTAATAGAGAAATATCGTAAAAATAAATTCATTGTTTCGTTTTCCATTCAAAATATACTTATAATTCACAGTCGAACCTCCATATAATCACACCCCCCCCCCCGGGATATTAAAAATTGTGACTATAGAGAGGTAGTGACTATGTGGAGGTCAAATTTCTTATGTTTCATAATAAGTCGGGAACTGGAAAAATGTGACTATATTAATTTTGTGATTATATGGGATGTGACTATTTAGAGATTTGACTATATAATAGACATATATATAGATATATAACTTACTTGAACTGCTCTCCCTCTTCCTCTTCCTTTGCCTTTTTGTGATGCTGCGGGCTCTTCATTATCAACATCAGGATTCAATTCTTTTGATTCTTCTTCATCAATTTTCTTATTTGCTGCTTTTTGTTTTTCGTCAATCTTGTCGAGATATTTGAGACCAGGCCGAAGCTGATATGTTGCATTTACAGGAGCCAAATGAAAGGCACCTGTAGAAATATATTTTGTTGGAAATGAACATAGCAATCAATTAATTCATTCAAATAGTCAACTTGCCATTCTTGTAATATCCAATCATATATCGTACTCTTGGTGGAACAGCCGTAGACTGTAGGGTTTGCCTATCCAATTTATCATCATCGTTTACTTGTGAAAATCGATCGCGTATCGTCTTTGCCATCTCATCATTGGTTCCCAATGCCAATTCTTGGCCTCGGTGTTTATCATAATACGCATTATTTGTATCCAGTGGTATATCAAGTTCAAGATGCTTAGAATTCGGTTTCAGTCGTGTTTTTATCGGTTGTTCTCCTTCCGCATATGGACGCGATTTTTCACGTATCGGGAACTGGAGTAACTGAACTCCTGGTAACCCCAATTGATTTGTGAAATATACCGGAATGCGTTGAACTACATTTGGATCATTTATTTCAAATGGGTCTGTCTGATGAAATTCTTGTTGTTCTTGCTCTTCTATTATCATAGGATCGGTACCATTATTATTATCATCAATAGTGGCGGCTATCGGAGGATATGCTGATTTGTTAACAAAAGTCTCTTCTAGTGACTTTTGCTTTCTTAGCTGAGGCTTAGATTTTGCGGACGAAATACTACCACCTATGCCAGTGTTACTACTACTCGTTGTGGGTTTACGAATGGCAGAAGATCTCACTTGTTTAACTTGAGGTAGCGAAGTCGCAGTTTTTACGTTACCCACCTGCGGCTTTTTTGTTTTCGTTGGAGTTCTGACGGCCTTTTTATTATTGGCATTTGGTGAGACTTTTGTTGTTGTTGCTGCTGCTGCTGCTGCTACTGCTGCTGTTGTTACTGTACGTTCTCCTCTACCAAGACTTTTTGTATTAATTTGTTGCTTCGTAGACGGTAAATTCGCTGCTGATGTTGAAACATTGACAAGCGGTGGTATTGGTGGTGCTTCATTTATTGGTGCTTGTAGGTTCAATGTGTTTGACGTTGCTCTTTTACTAGTTGAAGCTTCCATTCTCGAGATAATAAATTACCGTCACGTTAAGGGAAAAGTTGATCAATTTTCTGTCGATTATTTCGAAAAATATAAATGATAACGCGATTTTTTTATTTCCTTAAATAATGTATCTCGTAAAGAAACTAAAATTTTCTAATAAAGCTTTTTTTACCAGCATTCCTAACGCACACTTTCATCATAAAAAAATCACGGAAAAAATTGTAATCCTCCGCCTTTAATTTCCTCGAATGCATGCAAATTTATAATATATTTATCGACTACCTTGTTTTTATTTTTATACTAATAAGATATCCATTCTAATAAATACTCATTCGGGGGATTATGATAATGCAATTAACACGGCAGCTGAATTATACGCGGAAAAGTCATATAATACTGATGATTCTCTTCTAACTTTGCCGAAAGTGTCCACTTCACATAAGACACCGCCGACACCGCTTGAATGGCTGGTGCATATTTTGGCGGGAGACGCTCAAGGTTTGAAAGGAGAATGGGAAGAAGCGATGGTTTGTTTACTTAAATTTTGCTTTAATTCTTTAAATTGTAATTAAGGATTAGAGATTAAATATTTTTCCAACTTTCCAAAAAAAAAAAGAAAGAATTCAATATTGCTATGACACTAAAGTCATGTTTGAAGGACAACTGTTTTATGGAGTCGTTATATTATAGGTATAAAATAAAGGCTTATTCCCTGATCTAAGTAAAATCGAATAACATTATCCGCGTTTTTTTCTCAATTAGAATTGCCAATGCACAAATAGAGATTAGTAAACGAGTTTCGGAGCTTGACACATCACTTGAACATCTATTGCGTTCAAAACAGATGGCAAGTACCGGATTAGTTCATTATAATAATTCGTATGTAACTTTTTTTTCCATTCTATATAATATTTTCAAAGGATTCTATGTAAGGAAAATTATATTCTTTTCGTTCGTGCGTGTAGGCAAATATTGAATCATTTAAAGGGATCATCTCTTCTTTTACTTAAAGAATATAAGTCAGCGCTCAATTGCTTTTCAGAATCTGTTCTCAATTCAACTGAGAACGCTCGTGAGCATATGTTTTATGATTCACGATGGATTCTTGTAAAATCGATGATTGGAATGGGTTTAGCTTTGCATTCTTTAAGTAAGTTTGCAATTTTTATTTCTCTCTTGAATTTATTCTTTTCTTGGTGTTTCCTGAATGTGTTGCTTTTAAATGCGAGTAGGGTTTATAGCTCCGGACGGGTTGAGCTAATTACTAAGAACATTATCATTAGAAAGAAGAGTAAATTCTCACTTGTTAATTAGATAACCCAATATGATAATGGTTTCGGATTTCAGTTCTTCTTTCTCGTCAATCTAATTAATGAGTGAGATTTTAATTCTTCAGTCTAATGCATAGTCAATATGCTATACTATAATACGACCTGATAGACCGACAGGTTTAATTTACCAAGGTCATTCTGATTAAGGGCTTCAGGTCAGTCTAGCCCGTTGAATTTAGTTTACATTATTTCTTCCAAAGGGAATCTTATTCAAACCCAGGACGTCGTATTATCTACCCGGATTATTAGATTAGATCTGTTGCTGCGAATTTCTATAAAATTGTGAACTCGAATAAAGACATTAGAATAATTTTTTTGTATTTTATTTAGATGATTACCCAAAAGCATTAGAAGCATACAGGCGAGGCTTAAAACTGATTGAACAAACACGCGATTATAACAATTTCAATAATTATAAACAGAACAGTACAGAACATATAATGCGCGAATTTGGCAATATAAACCATGGCGAAAATTTGATTAACAAGGCATTAGATTGGTGTTGGTGGACACGGCCTGGCATCCTTAAAGGTTTGGCCTCTTTGTTTTTGAAATTCTTTTTTGTAAGGACAAGATATACTAATTTGTTAAATTTTCTTTCGAAGAACTTCATCTTCAAAAACTTGAAACAATCACTTTATATAATATGCAAATTTTGAAGTATTATGAATTATTTAATCAAAAAACTCCACAGAATAATCACCGTAGCTCAAATAATAACATACTTTCGGGTTCTTCTCTCTCATCCTCATCTATTTTTGAATCCAAAATTACAACTAAGCCAAGAATTCCTGTTGATCCAAAATCAATATTAACACCAACTCACTTATCAAAACTACTTCATCTCGCTGGCTATTATCATCTTTTCAAAAATAACGATTACCATGCCGCATACAAAAAATTCTTGCATGCACAGTTCCAGGATGCTAGTATTCTGGAAGGTTGGCTGGCTAGACGAGATATTCTTGATAGTAGATATCTTCTAAAAGGCGATTCCTCCATTATTAATCAAAATAACGATTTTTACAATGATGATATTGATATTAATGGTTCGGAGGTTGAGTATGAAGATTTGTGTATAACTGAAGAAGAGGATAAGAGAATGATAGAGCACGAATTGCTAACAGATGCTTCCTCTGCACAAAGCTCAACCCGATTTGCCATGATCAATGATGTAATTATGAAAATGATGCGAGAAGAATGGGGTGGTAATTTTGAAAGGAAACAGGGGGTGAAGGAACGCATGGTCGAATCTTTTGTTGAAAATATTGCGGGCGTTGATCTGATAACTTAGTTTTTTTATCACTTAATAAATTTAGTTAGGATTTTTTATTTAGTGTCTAAATAAAATGGAAAGCACTTTGACTTCCATATATCTATTTCGAAACATTGTTCCTAAAAAATACGTAAGCACAAAAATAATAAAAAAATCACATGCGTGTGACAACCAAGAAAACTTGATAGAATTTAATGGGCTTAATATTAATCTCAAATGTGCGGGTTTTAGTTCATTATATGATCTTAAATGCGTTTGCTTAGATGCATAAATATAGATTTTCGGTCAAAAAATTTCAATAACATAATGGATTTTGGCCGTAAAAATCTGTTTTTTAATGTCTGATAATAACCGAATTTTGACCAGAATTTAATAAATTCCAGCCGGAATTTAGTAAATTCTGGAATTTACATTAATTATATTAACCAATCAAAATTCGGTAATTCCTGCAATAACTTCTGTCTAATAACCATGCTTTAATAAAGTTGTTCACCTGGTAAGTGACTAAGTAAAGTTATTTGTCAAGTAATAAAGCAGTTATTTATTAATTTTTGAAATTGTTATAATCGCGTGTTTGTTCAATCAGTTTTAAGCCTCGCCTGTATAATTTTTAAAAATTTTTGATCAATTAGATATTTCTTAAAAATTCTATAATTTAAATAAATATAATTAATATATTAATTATATAAGAAATTTATTAATAAGTATTTATCATAATATTTATATTATATTCTTATAATTTCATTTATTATTTAATATTTATTTATTATTATTTTTAATTATTTTTTATTTGTATTATATAATGACTCTCATAATTATAGAATTACTTGAATAGAATTTGCAATAAATTTAGTCTCTGAC